GCTAACGGTCCCAGGCTAACTGGGAGTAGGATAATGGGGATGGCGCTATCTGGAAGTGGCTAATGGGTGCAGGCTGTGGGAAGCGCATTAGTGGGACTGGGCTAACTGGGAGCACACCCATAGGAGCACATTGAAACCGCGATTAGTGCCCGGATCTCCCAGCTAAACTTAGCACCTCCTTTCTGCGAGGAATCAAGGTCGTCCCCGGCTTGGGATCATTGTGGATATATACATTTTAATTAGGAATTTGATCCATTCAACCCATTTTGAGGATATTGAACTGTCTTTTATAGCAGAGAAATGCTATGGAAAGTTTATGCTAAAGCCACTCTGGATTTGACTTTATACAGTATACCAAAACTTTAAGAAATACTTTAAAAAATATTAGGCTGTATGACTTTGATTTGTTTTTCCTATTGTTTTAATAAGTTTAAATCCTACCTTTTGTTATAATGGTGGTACCTATGAATAATGCTTACCAGTGGTGTACAATCACTGTATATCATTGTATAAGAAAGCAGACAGTGTACAGGATGAGGAACCGTCCCCACAATAAACAATGGAGTTTTATAATGTAATGGGGGAAAAAGTTGAGGGCATTTTTCTAAGCTCCTCCAATGAGGAAGCAACTACTCCATAACTGACACTTCTATCAGCCAATCGAACGGCAGCGATGCCCCCCCTCCTTTTTTTTTTCCATGCTGAGTGTTTTGACAGCTTGAAGCGGTTGAGTTACCAGGCAGCAGAAGGCTTCCCCTCTGTATGTGAGAGAAGGGGGCTGAAGTGGACCTCTGCTGGGCAGGGGGGGGGGTCTCCGGTGCGCCAGCCAGACCTCAGGAGCTCTCGCCTCGAGCGGGAGGGGTGGAAGGGTGGGGCATGTGACTTCAGTCCAGCAGGCTCTCCTGACCCACCAAGGTGCAGTGAAGGCAGGCGTGAAGCTGGTCTTCCTCGTTAAAGCCCAGAAACACAATTCAGAGCCTGAAAGCTAATATCCCACCTCCAGTGCTGGGGCGGGGGGTATTTTTTTTCCTGGATTATATTGTATGCTACCTACGCCCTTGACGTGCGGAGCAACCTTGAAAGTCTGCTCCACGCTCATCACCTGTTTGGACTGAACGCGCAGAAAGTAAACCTGTCGATCCCCAGCGAGTGACATGCGATATACCTGCTCTGACGGGACCCGTCTCCACAGCAACGGGTCCGTCTCTGGCCCCAAATCCTCATCTTTCACCGGGCAGCCTAACAACCCCATCCTTCCCTCCCCAGAGAAGATCTAAATTTAATTTTTGAGAAACATCATTCCTCGAATCGCATGCAACATAAGCAGGAGTGTTTTAAGGGGCCACGTTGCATAAATGTGCAATGGCTCCAAGGTCTCTGACTGTACAAAGCAAAGGCGGACACCCCCAGTCTCGGAGGAAAAAGAAGCATCTGCGTTAACTTTATGGGTTTGAATACAGGCCACACCATGGTCAAACAACCCCATTACCCAACAACCCAAATGCCCCTACAGCTATGGAATGGTGATTTGATATATGTTGGGAATGGGAATGGAACCCCCCCCCCCCCCCCAAAAAAAAAAATCACAAGTTCCAAGGTGGGAAAATTCCAGTTGGTTTTAGGGGTTTTTTTTCTGGAACTAGCTCTAAAAATAATATTCACAATCAGGCCCTTTTCGCTCAGGCCCCTGTGTTAAATATGCCAGAAGGGGCCGACGTTACCGGGTGATGCAATCTTTACCAGTCGTCTAGGCGAAGAAGAAGGAGGGGGAAAATAAAAAGGTTAAGACTGGCGTGTTGCTTTCAGGCTGGGTTTTGCTCAAACCCCTGTGACAGCAGCTGTGGATTTTGCTAAACACTTGCTGAATCTTTAGCGAGCCTAAAAGACTGGAACAATGGCCGGACCGGCTTCTGCGGCTTAGTGTCACTGCCACAAGCCCCAAAGCCGGCCGCCGTGAGCACCAGGCGCCCCATCACCACCAATGTACAATCCGTGCGATAACAGCTCGGCATTCCATATTGCACTCTGGTGATCGGCCGCCACCTCACAATAAAGTGAAGATGAAATGTCACATTAGGTGTAAACACAGATCGTACATTCGGTAACAATTTGGTAACAGAACTAACATCCTGATAGCTGAATAGCTGGATATCTGTTATATGAGATCAACATGCCACTCCTTAGCGTGGCTCATTGTACACTCAGCTCCCCCCCCCCATCACAATGTAGTTTGGACCATGTCAAATCAGGGTGGCTTTAGCCGCCGCCGAATGTCCACGCTGCTGTTTAACGCCAGAAGGTCTGACTACAGCTGTACAGTGGGAGCCTCAGCCTCCACACCTTGGTCGAGATTTTTAACACCCCCCACTCAAGTTTGGCAGTCCAAAGTCAAGAGTGACTCAGACATTCTTTAGCATTTCTCAGCAATATGTGGCAAACATCAGAAAGTCTTTCGGACTGCAAGTTTCATTCCGGAAAATTTTTGCTGGCATATGTAGTATGTTATGTATCTATATACATGCATCAGTTTCATACACATCTGAATTGACTATACATTGAATTCAGAAATCAATCCAAATGTCCTGCCACAATTTTTTTTTAAAGGACTCGACTTTTAAATTTGTTACCCACTCATAGGTTATAAAAGATTTTAGATTCTGTGAAAGAAAATAGAAATATCAACTAAAAGTAGATAAGACACATATAGCAGAACTGCAGAAAAAGCCCTTAAACAGTTAATCGCAGTGTTGACATTAGTTTTCACTGCACACCTTTCCCACCGCTTCCAAACCTGAAGGTAATAGTTTCCAGATCGTTTTAATGAAGTCTATGGAGTAAAGATACTGTAGATTATCTACAATAACGGATGACGAATTTCCAACTTTTGACGGGGGGTGGCTGCACGACCTACTGTAGAGTGCACGAAACTCGTCGTTTGGTAATAGCAAGTTATTTCTGAAAGGTAAACGTGATTACGCCCTGATTGACTGGCGTCTATACGCCACGAAACCATCCGATAAAATGCATGGCTGTCCCGAAGCCGACGGGAAAACGGGGGTGAAAAGCCGCACCGCAGCCCCGAAAGCCCGAGGTGCGAGGACACTTAGCCGGTATGTAAAGGAGCGAATTCCTCTCCTTAGTCTATTTATGGAGAGGAAAGCCCCACACCCCTCCGCCCCGCTGCATGAAAGGGGGAGAAAGAAGAAAGCTTAAATGGTTTGAATGATGGTGAGGAATGTTTAAAAAGTGTCTGTCGGGAGGGAAAAGGGGGCCGGCGAGTAAAGGAAACAGTCCTAAGGGAGCCTCCCGGTCTCAGATCTGCTATGCGTGACTGGGCACACAGAAGAAAACCTAAACCTGGCTTCTTAACTTCGGGGAACAATGGCAACTATCCGGGACCCGTGCTTTTAAACACTGCAAGTGCTTTTTCCGACGAAAACGCGGTTGTCACAAAATAAACCGCCGACGTTTTTATTCTTTTAATTGTAAAAAAATGCATAGGCACACTCGCCTTATGGGAAAGCGTTTCATTAACGGGACTCGTGCGTCGCATTTCGCAAGAGACACTTAAAACAGTAGCCCGATCTAACAAATAACATATCTGGTATTTTAATAAACACAAAAAAAAACGACAGGAAGCGACCATTTTGAATTTCTTTGTGAATAATATATCAAGTCCATAGATGCGTATAAATCTGATCTCAATTTTATTCTCTAAAAAAACTAGCCATTTATTTATTTAAAATACAGGGATGAATTGTGTGCGGGTAAAGCCGACCTTTACGGTGCCGTTTAAATGCCTAAAAAAAGCGTCGCTGTTACGGTCCCTGTTTTCGCGGCAAGACACTCGCTTAAAACCATTAAGAGTCACCGGACCGCTCCGGCAAAACCAGTGATACTAAACAAAAGAATTTACAATCAAATAACACCTTTTAGAAACGCTGCATATTCTCCATCCTTTATTATATAAATATCGACTTTAATGTTTACTGTAAGAATATAAAACAATTTAATTTCAGATTTTTTTTTACAAATACACATACAGTACATTTTAACACAGTAGCTTCTCAGCAGGACTTGAATGTTGCAGGTCGATACATCATGTTACATAGGCCTGACACGCATTGCTTGTTAACCGTGGAAAGAATATATATATATACGGCAACGTCTTGCTCCCAATTTAGATGAGGGACCGAGATGTTTTTTTCCCCTATTGCCCGTTTGTTGTGGGAGAGAAGAAAGCAAATCAGATGTTCAACTCGCAGAAATTACTCGAACAAAAAGCCGATTTGCGAAAGATCATTTTTAAAAGGAAAACAATCACTTCAATTTGAAGTACGACGCTCTGAATTACAGCTATTTTTTAATGTGCTTACATAAGCATAAATACATCAGCTGAAGGGACCCCTTATTCAAAGCTTGAATTCAAGGCTTCGCGGCCTGCAAGTTGTGCTAAAACAAAAAGGCTTTTTGTATCCAAAAATCTGTATTTTATCCAAATTTGCATAAACTTGCCATTGTCTGGATTAAGCAGTCTGTGCTTAGAAACATTTTCGTTTCTATTATTGTAAGTATTTGAAGGAAAATTAACAAAGGTAGTTAAAGATCCATTCTTTTTGTAATTCTCAAGAGACGCGGTGGGGGAGGGGATTATTTCTAGGCACAAATTGTCTCTTTTAAAGAATACAGGATTTATAATAAGGTAGGGAAAATGAGCGAGGTAGCCAAAATGTTTTAGACGTTATACTTGGGGGAGGAGGAAATAACTTTAATATTGTGACTTTTGCGAAATGTAAAAGTTCGAAACAATGTCCGTACCACAGTAGGAATACCGTTAATGATACTGAATAATTTTTATCATCTAGTAGGCGGAATTTAAGTCACAGTTACGTACTTTTAATACATTAAAATACTTAAATTGTTGTTCAGCAAACAAGATTTTTTTAAATAAAGAATTCCCCCGCCCACTCACCCCTCCCCCTTTCCCCCCCTCCCCTACCGTCTACCCCGAGTCTTGCAAGTTTCACCTCACTTTTTCACTTTCGGTCATCTGCCAAAGTCCAAGGTTTAAAACTTTAAGGCAGGGGAGCTGCGTTATCCTCTCCAGTCCCCTTTTAGTGATTTTTGTACATCCATAAAGATCGATTCCAGTCAATTGAGTCAGATGGTCAGCAATGAGCTCAAGTCCTTTGTCTGTAATCCGCACGCACTGGCCGATATTCAGCGTTCTCAGTTCGTGCATTTGGCGCACCATCCTGTTGATGCCATCATCACTTATGTGGCACGAACACAGGGATAAAGATTTTAGCTGGTAAAGGCCCTGGGCTATGTAAGCCAGGCTTTGGTCGCCAATCTTGTCGCAAAAGGACACATCGAGACCCAGCAGCCTCAGCGTCCCCATGGCCAGGTGCATGATTCCTGTGTCACTTATGTTGTCACAGGACCTAAGGTTAAGGCTCCAGAGACTGGTCATGTGGGACAGGTGAATCATGCCGGCGTCCGAGATCCCGCCGCAGAAGCTAAGATTGAGAACTTTGAGCTTGGTCAGGCCCTTGGAGATGTGTTTTAGAGACAGGTCCGTCAGCTTCTGACAGTCCTGTAAGGTCAGGTACTCCAGGTTGAGACATCCTTCCGCCGCACTCCGGGTCATGCCGGCCAGGTGCCCAATGCCTACATCTGACACATGCCGGCAGCTGCGCAGATTCAGGCTCTTCAGTCTGTGCAAACCCCAAGCGATGAGTAATAAACCGGTGTTCGTGATGTTGCTACAGCCGCCAAGTTCCAAGACCTCGAGATTTTTCAAATACTGAGCTATCCTGCCCAGGCTGGAGTCCGTGATCTGCTTGCAGAGGCTAAGGTTCAGCACCCGCAGGGAAGGTATTTCCTGTACGAAAGCATGCCCAAGGCCGTTATCTGTTAAGTTGTAGCAGCCACTGAGGTTCAGGCTCTCGATATTTGGCATCCCCTGTATCACGTAGCTCAGACTGCGCCTTAGGCTGAGGATCTGCACCCTCCTGATTCCCCGGGCCTGGAGGCTGGGGAAGAGGGACGGGTTGGCCCTCCGCAAATGCAACTTGGCTTCCACCCCCCGCCACACCGACTTGTGGTAAGACGCGTCCCTCCACGCCGTACACACTTGGGCCACCCTACCTTTGTCCCTTACATCCAAGTAACTGAAAATCATAGCCAAAATTTCTGGGAAGAGGCACGAGATGTGTGTCTCCATTTTATTTTTACATAAAAAATCTTGGTTAACCCAACCGTTGTGTTTCTGTGACGCTCCCGTCCTTTATCCCGAAGAAATCTTTTTTTCTTAGCAAGCTTTCCCGTTTTTCTTACGTATGTATACAGATATATATTTGAACAAATCGATGAACTCCACGTCCCACGTGATGTGTCTGGGTTGCGCAGTAGGATTCAAATGCAAAAAGCCAAAAAGCTAGTTCCAATACAAGCCTCAACCAAACGAGGAAAACAGTCCAACCATCAGACAGCAATACCCGTTTTGTGCTGCGAGGAGCCTTTTCGGTCGTCGCTGGGATCCAGACGGTCGTACATTTTCAAAAAGACGTTTAAAAATTCTACTAATACTCAGACGGGGTATATTCGGACACGTTACGGCGTCTCTTCCCACTGCAATCGTAAAAGAGAAAGGTTTCGGTTTGCATTTGCGCTCCGCTCGCTCGCATTGCCAAGCCGAGGGGCTTCCTGCTGCCTTTGTCTGATCTTTTCAAACTGACTTGGCAGGGCCGCCAGCATTGCGTTGCTGTGGGGGAAAGCACGAAAACAAAAACGAGAAATACATTTCTTTGCGATTCAGAAAACGTTTGGAAAACAAACGACACTTTCCTAAACTTATTTATTTATACGCTATCTTTACACCATTTAAACTAAGTAAATTTGAATAAATTTACTTTTGTCTAAATCAACTCCCCCCTCTTGCTGAGCGGCTGTTGGTTTTGCCCAGCTCAGCTGGAACAGTAAGAATAGTTCCCCTGGAAACCAACTTCTTACAATTCAGTTCACTTTACTCTTAACCCATTAATTGTCGAAGTAAACCGGTTTTTTATTTTGTTTTTAATCATTTGAAAGAAATATTTCAGTGAATGAATCCTTTTTTGTTCGAATGATTTCTTGCATCGCGTAGCAAGTTTAGATATTTTAGTTGAGGCATAGGTATCTATATTTAGTTTTCATATATATTTAATATGTTGCTATCTGGCTAACTAGCCACTTTATAACTGCGGGCGTCATAGATTGTGAATGTTGATTTCAGGAAGGTTACATACGCAGTGTAGGAAAATAATTTAATTGAAAGTATTATTTTATTCCCATTGGATTTATAATATTTGTAGTAATAGTTCATGACTGTTTTAGGTACACTTTAATGTTAATTATTAAAAATCATTTTACGTTTGCCTCTTGGTGTTGTAAAGATCTTTCTCACAGCTATACACATATTTCAAAAGAAAATACCAATGACCGAAAAAATAATTACAGATGCTGTCTGCCTGTTATGACTAGTGAGTTGAGCAGTTAGCTCACGAAGTCGGCAGCTGCCTTATTTATTGAACTGTGATGATGCTTTTCTATGTTCCACTGTGTGTTTTAAGCAATAAATGTGTTAGGAATGGGAAAAAAATATTAACGGGCATGTAATTATTGTGCTAAATATTGGTAAGGTAAAACTGCATACACATCACAGGAAAACTAGTTTTGCATTTTAGAGACTTGCAACTTGGTTTTGTTGCTTACGTTTATGAATTTATTCATGAGTTTTGTGGTTGAACATAGTATAGTTATTTGGCCATATTTGTGGCATTACGTATCAGTCCCTAAGCTCATATGAGCTTCCCAAAAACCCTGAACCCAGAGGTGCACTGTGCTCAGGATTCTGAAACCACCGTGCTTCTGGACTGCATGGTCCGCTTGTGTTTGTTGTACCTAACCTCTTAATTGCTTTGTTAAAATTGTTTCGAATGGTAAATCCGCACAATATATATGAAAATCTATATATACTTCTATTGGACTGGAGATGTCAAGACCTGATCTTACAACAACGACAATCAGTCGAGTTACAACATCGGTGTCATTTTTGATTGATTTGTCAATAAATACATTTTTTAAGGTATTTAACAAATGCACAACTATACAAAACAAGTTGCATTATATTAGGAAAATCTAGATGATGCATGACTGGATTCAGTTACCTTCCACATGTAAATAAGTATGACAAATAAAAGTGTAACATTGATTAAAGCCTATTCTCTTTTCTCTCCAAGTGTACAATCGAGTTAAGAGTGGAAATTAGTGCACTTTCCGACACTGAGGGAGCATAAATCCCTACAACAGAGAAGCCTCAGATTCCGAGGCCTTTTTCCATACAGCTGTCATATGGGCAACTGTTAGTTAATATGACAGGAAAGCGTTTGCAGAAATTGCTGGAGTGTGGCGGAGCAGCAGAGGAGAGGAAGAGTGGAGCCACACAAACACCGTGATGTTTACAGGGGAAAATGCAACACAGCATAACTGACAGCAGCACACTGCTCCCCCCGACCTTTTTTCCATTGGGTGAAAGGTGGGGAGGGAGGGGGGGGGGTTAAAAAAATTACCACAGGTAACAAATTCCTGTTGTACAGCACACGAATGAGATGTGATCCATCTTCTGCTGGTACTCTGGTTCTCTGTGATGGGCGTACACCTTTAATTTCTTAGTTTTTTTTTTTCTTCTGTCTTTCTCTCCTCCTACACAATGTTGGCAGAGCGGGAGGTCGTGCGGGCAGACAGCTGGGCCTCTGGCGTTGGCGCCGACGAGTGCGGTGGGTCCTGACACCCGGCACATGAGAGGCTAAGGTCTCACTGACAGTACTCAGTCACCCAGGGGGTGCCAGTATTTGGGGGGGGGGGGGTTGTTGGTCCTCTTCTTAAACCCCCTCCTTATAGAAATTCGCTGTGTTCTCCGATACTGCACATTCTGTCACTTTTACCACCCCCCCCCCCCAAAAAAAATTTAAATAACAAAAGTAGGCCTGTTCTGCTGGGGTTGGGGGGGGGGTACTGAAGAGAAATAGTGTGACATGCAGATCTGAGAGTGAAGAAGAGAAAATAGGGAGGAGTCATGTGACGTGAAATGCCCATTCAGGAGAGGGCGATAATTGGATAATCGTCGGCTCCTGAATTCCGCTGATAGCAGTGGCCGGGCTTTGCCTTTCCAAGGAGACCTGCATATCTCTCCGCATGCAGGTGGAAATGGCAGCCTGGCGTGTGCCTGGTTGAGCCTCACCTGTCAGTCTGCAGATGTGAGGGCCACTCTCACGAGCGGCAGTGCGCAGAAATGCGTATTTACACTGATCGGCATGATAGCGCCTTCCGTCCGTAGGGGAAGGATGAGGACACGATTTATCTGCCGCCATCGGCCTGACTTAACTTTCTTCGCTTACAAAATATCCCTACTGATGTACCTGGGAGGAGTTTCTGTGAATCAGCTGCTGAGGTCCCATGTCACCAGCAGAGGGCCCTTGGAGTAGACTCTCTGAAGAGTCCAGGTAAAAGTGAAAAGTACCGTATGTAGGCAAGAGTGCATTTTGTACTGTTTTTATGTATTCATCTGTGTGAACCAATACAATTCACAGATCATCTTGCCTGTGCAAATTCTAGGCCCCTTCGGTTTATGGATAATGTTATCTGGCCAGATGCAGCACTGACTGTAATTGGGTGTGTTGGTGGACATTCACATTAATGGGTAAACGGTGTATGATACAGGGTTTCCTGATTCACGTTGAGGGGGCCGTATGTGTCACAGAAAGCCCATGGGAGGAATCAGCTGGTGCTGATTAGTAAATTTGAGTTACGTTTGTGCATGCGAGGTAACCTGTAGAACTGAAAACCTCGCTCCCCTCACTAGGTTGAGGGGGAAGGTAGGAGTGGATATAAATGAGACAAGCCTGAACCTGGGGGGGGGGGGCAGTTTCACGTTCCCTCTTCAGACCATCTGAGAAGCTGGTGGCAAGATTGACAGGTAAGTCGTCCGCCTAGTGCTCTGCGGCGACTGACCTGACTTGGCGTGTGGTTCAGACCCCCTCTTCTGTGTGCAGGGAGGAGAGGGGGGGGTCATACCTGTTTTTGCCGCCCCCGTGGAAAATTCATTCCTCCCCGACAGGAGGGATGCCGCCTTCCTTTCCGTCACTCAGAGCCATGGCCCAGTTACCCTGGCATGTTCTGTCACAAGCAGATTAAAAGCGCTCCGTCTCTTTTGCCCTCATTCAATCTTCCCGTTCAAAAGAGGACGAGAAAGCGATGCTCAAAGCTGACAACATTGTTAACTGTTGGCTCGTACACTCATACATTTTTTATGTCAGACACATACAGAACCTCAGTCTTACGTTTCTGAGCTGATTAGCTTATCCAAAACTCATATTCCGGTTTACCTCTCATTATCTTTTCTCTTCTGGCTTTTTTTTTAAGCTGATAAATAAAAATGTAGAATCCACACATGCAGCCTTCAGATACTGAGGAACTGTCAGTTCCTCACCAAGGACACTCGACCCGTGTCTTTGCACATCGCTCTGGGTCACACGAGCCACCCTTTGATCCCAGGTGCTAACAATTAACAGATGCCGCATTGCTGTGTGTGCATGTGCGTGCAAGCGACTGCATGCGCGTGTGTGTGCGTGTGTGTGTGCGTGTGTGTGCGTGTGTGTGCCTGCACTCACGCACTTGTAGTCTTGTCATTTTATTTTTGGTTCCTCTGTAACTCTGGAACTGTCAAGAAATATCCTCTTTAAAGTGCCTTGATTTTTCACAAGAGAAGAGAGAAGAGAGTGCAGCCGTGTTGTGGGGGCTTTGGGGGGGGGCATACTGGCGGGGATGAAGGGGCGAACATCTGTACAGCTCTCATAATAAGAGTAATGAAAATGTTAATAATTGATCTATTCTTACTGGAATACATTGTTTGCGTTTGAATTAAACATTACAAGCAGGAACGCTGAAAAATTCGGCTGAAAAATGCGACTAAACATGAAGAGCTGGAGACGCAAACAAGTCTGAAGCGAAAACGCGACTCCTTTGTTATTTTTTATAAGCGCGCCGCTGCAGTTGTCACCTCGCGTCTCTGTGTTCCCGCGTTGCTTTGTCCTGAGTTCTTCTTCGGAAAAAAAAAAGAGAAAAGTTATCTGCGTCTTTTACCCCGAGAGAGGATTCAATACAGGTCAGGTTAATCAATCCAGAGAGAGGGATTTGAGACATTCAAAGAAGAAGTTTTAATCAGGCCAAGCCAACAGAGAATCGTCTAGCAGGCCTGGGCCCACATGGATTGTGTGTTTTATGCAGGGGAGGTGGTCAGTGAAAGAGATTGCATCACACATGCATGTGTGTATGTCTGTGCATGGAGGCAGGCATGTATTCTCCAGTGTTCTGGAGGGCTGCAGACTTGCATGGCTGGATATTCGCAAGTCGTCTCTCCCTCTCTCTCCCTTTGGTTATTTTTCATTGTGGAAGTTGCCTTTGATGCCTTTCCCATCCTTCCCTGTGGTCTTGTATTTATGGCTCAGCAGTAGTTTGAGGGTGACATTGGCTCTGTGTTCCCCTGGGGCTGGGGAGAGTCGGGGGAGGGGGGGGGGTGGTGATAGGCTTGGGTGTTGTTTTGGGGGAGGGGGGAGCCTGTCTGTTGAGCCTTGGGACAGTCCTGCAGCGGTGCAGCTGAGCAGAGCCAGGGACCGGAACTGATGGCTGGCCAGGAGAG